GAATAATCAAATGACTGAATTATATTTTGCCCTGACTGCTGAGTTGCCTTGATAATGACATGTACATGTACAAGGTGTATTTCATTACAGATAAGTAGTCGCCTCTGTTAACCTACATTTGCATGTCAGTGTGGGTTAGTGCACAAGTGTAAAAGTTGGTTAAAACACACCCTCCTATTCCCATGCATGTCCCACAAAACACACTGAAACACAAAGGTTCTTTCTAGGTTTTTTTCAGCAAGCCGAATGTTACAAACACCACAAAGAATTCTAAGGGCTTCAACCGTGCTTGTAAATGCCCTCTGTGCAACATGAGCAGCACTCTATTAATCAAGATAATTCCACCGTAGCGAAGGGATCTAACTTCCCTAGTTCCAAGGCTGGAAATCCTCAGAGTGCAAGCCATTCAGCAGGATTTGTTAGCACAGCTCCTCAGCAAATCCAACACACAGTGTTGTAAGACTCGAATCCCGGACTTGGACTCGAGTCGGACTCGAGTCACATTTTTCGTGACTCGGACTCGACTCGAGTCACATTGGAAAATTACTCGGACTCGGACTCGACCATGATGACTCGGACTCGAGCTTGGTGACTCGTGATTCGAGTCACGTATTTTCATCAAACGAAAAACATAACAATACGTATTTTTGCGACGAACTTAGCATTCTTTTTAACTCCCGTAGACAAAACACGGCGGCCGCGCCACGGAAAATCGTATCCAGGGGCCGCGCGCACGCATAGCGCCTGCAAGAAGAGCACCAGGCCCCGGTGTCATGCCAAAAATGGTCCGGTATCATGGAAGGTGTATTTTGGGGGATGTGAATTAAAAGGAAAATACATTTTGAGTCTAAACAACATGTACACACACAAGGTACGCTGTATACACTGGGATTTACTTTAAAAATTATTTAAAACATTTTGATTAGTTTGGTAAACAACTATAAGAACGAGTGACTCAATCGGACTCGGACTCGAGGCTTGTGACTCGAGACTCGGACTCGGACTCGAGGTTGGTGACTCGACTACAACACTGCCAACACGCCTGTAGTAATCTTGAGAGCATGTACAATGTACCATGCCTCGGGTGGCTCGATAATAGGGCAATGCAAAATTAAACGTGCTGTAACTCGAGTTTTTACTTCAACATTTTACAAAGTTTTATAGGGATTCACAGGGTACAGTGGGGATGAACCCTAACTTTAACCTTTTTTTTAATGTTGCATACTTCCGTAAATCGTTCAGCCCCAATGGATCACAGAGACCAGCCATAACTACTAGCTAGGCAGATTTGCAATCAAGTTTCACCAGTGAGACGTGATATAAAAAGGACCACATGTGAGGGTTAAAACAGTGTGGGAAATATCGATATTTTCCACACTGTTGTAACCCTCACATGTGGTCATTTTTGCCAAACGATCCACGTGAGTACATTCAGGGCCCAAACGATTCGCAGCAGCATGGTATCCCAGGATACGGTATTACTGCATTTGTCATTACAGGATTAGTGAACATGCCGGACACTCTGTTGCGGGAGTTCCCGGCACACTACGCCTACGCCTACACACTCCTTGCTCAGGTTCCCAACATTGATATTGTCGTGGAGGTCAGCGTGCCGGGGAGAGATCATGATGCCCACCTGCATGGAGAAGTCCAAGTCTGTAGTATCACGAAGTGTGGAGTTACTCTCCATCTCTGTGTCTTGCCACTTTGGAGCTTTTCAGTTGGTGTATTCTACATCTGATCTCTCTTCAGACCACGCATCTGTCCAGGAAGACGAATATATTTGCTGATGCTTTTTCCAGGAGGTGGAAGTATTCCGACAGAGTAGCCTCTCTATCAACCAATAGTCAGACATCATCCGGCCACGCTACTTGTAAGACATTGTGCAGGCAAGCAATGGGTAGCAATGTCAAACAGACGATTGCATGTTCAGCAGCCCTCTAAGCCCACAAAGCTCCTTCCTCATAGTAGATAGGCAGCTTCGTGTTCTTGACGTTTTCTTGTAGGCTTAATAGTTTAGACATTTCTTGAATGAAACCGCTGCACGTACCTTCCCTCTACTTCTTGGGCTTTTCGGTGCAAATATAAATGAGGTGAGTCGTTTTCTGTATAATGGAATCCCCAAAATTTAAAGGGATCGATTTTCGAATCCACAATAAGAAACACCTACCTCTTTAGCCCTGTTTGCCATGACACGAAGAATGTGGTTTGGACAACTTTTCCAGTGAAAATTGTGGGCACTAGTGTTTTTTACATATTGACATTCTTACAGATTTCTCAAAAAGTACATGTATGGTTTTCTATAGGTAACTTGTAGTCGAGTCACCAACATCGAGTCCGAGTCCGAGTCTTGAGTCACAGGCCTTGAATCCGAGTCCGAGTCCCGAGTCACAAGCCTCGAGTCCGAGTCCGAGTCTCGAGTCACAAGCCTCCAGTCCGAGTCACGAGTCACTTGTTCTTAGTTGTTCACCAAACTATACAATTTCTGTCATCATTCTGTCTTTTAATTAAATCCCAGTGTAGATAGTTTACCTTGTGTGTGCACATGTTGTTCAGACCCAAAATGTGTTTTCCTTTTAATTCCCATCCCCCTAAAAATCCTCGTCCATCCCTTCCCTCCATTTTCATCATCCAAACATTATTCCTAAATGATCCTTTCCCATTCCTACGTTATGTTTTTTTCCCTTGATGAAAATACGTGAATCGAGTCACGAGTCACCAAGCTCGAGTCCGAGTCATCATGGTCGAGTCCGAGTCCGAGTCATTTTCCAATGTGACTCGAGTCGAGAACCGAGTCACGAAAAATGTGACTCGAGTCCGACTCGAGTCTGAGTCCTGGATCGAGTCCTACTATACTGGTTTGTTACTATACTGTACCTCATGACTGAAAGCCGACTTCTCACTTACCTTTCACCATCACGTGCAGCGGCGGGGGAGCGGTTTTCAAACGGGGGGGGGGGGGGGGGGGGGGGTGCATCACCAAACGGGGCACTTGCTCTGTAAAAGGCATCTTCCGTCGGTGCAGCAGCATATCCATTTGGGGGGGGGGGAGGGGGGTTACATCTGTGCTGAAATGTCGACAGTTTTTTTTCCACCGGGCACTTGGCCTCCGTAAAATCAAATGGGGGGGGGGGGGGGGGATAGTACCATATTCAAAAATAGGGGGCGCTCTTCAAAACCGGCCATTAGGATAACGACGCATTATGTGGCCATTTTCAGGGCGCATTGTAAGGGTTTTGGGGCTTGGTTTTTCATATTCCTCATTCATATCAGACCTCTCTATATCATTTTGGGATATGGTAATTAAAAACAAATTATCTGGAATTTTAGGGGCACTTTGCTAAATTGTGGGCGGGGGGGGGGGTGGCAAGTGCCTCCCCCTCCCCTTCCGCTGCCCCTGATGACATATGTTATTTTGCTGTTTACCAAGCGCGCAGGTACATACACATATGTAGTACACTGTCTTATGGGTTACCTGTGTGACAGTCTACTATGCATGCGCTTTACGAAGCACATGTGAAACTGTCGCATGGGTGTACTACGCATGCGTGAATATCGCCCTAGCTAGCTACACATGAAAAGATGGTTGCACGCGTAAATATTAATTACGTGTAGCCTATTCCCGAGTTCAATGATGCCGAACTGAAAAATATTTTTAACAATAAAGATTTGCAACTGTATTTACAACCTTGGTTACAGTATTGCAAACAAACTGAACTTTTCTGAGGTTGAGCAATAATATTCTTCTGGTGAGCTGGACAAGTTTCTCCAGAGATATTTTACCCTCCAGGTGCATACTACTGCAACAGGAAATTAGGCAACTGAATACGTATGAGGTATTGTTGATGTACCCTAAAGTGGCACGGCCCCCAACGTGGCGCACTTTGATTTTTCGCCTGTATCGCCTACCTAGAGCAAAAATCTTAACTGAAATTTCACAGAAAGTGACATTTCATCAAGTTCTAAACACTCCCATTCACAAATCGTGAGTTTATTTACCCGTTACAAAGTAAGAAGAAAAATTTATTTTGGCGTGATTTTTCGATTTTATCTTCAAGTACAAAGTAAACCCTTTGAAAATGCCCCGAAAAAATACGAAAATAATTTTGTGACAAACATCTAGCTGGGTATGTAAGTAGAGATAATAATGATTTATCAGAATTTATCAAGTTTACAGAAATTCTTCAATGTTAATTTGGAATTTTCTGAGTTTTATTTAAGTGCGCCACGTTAGGGAACACTCTGCGAATTTGTGCCCAATTTCCGGACGCCACCGTTTTTGAATTTCGGATTAAATTTTATGAAACCGAAATTGTTCACAGATGTTACATAGCACGCATTAATAAGGTAAAAGTACCAGTATTTTACTGCATGAATTTGAGGTTTGTCAACAAAGAGGTTTGGTAACACTACACGAGGAAAGTTGGGTAAGCTTCGAAGTGCGCCACGTTAGGAAACACGACTATATAGTAAAACAAATATAACATGGTTCACTTCAGCTCCCCTCGATATTTAGTTTGTCAACTTCCAATACTTCTGGGGGCGAATATCGACTGTACACCATCGAACCATGTTATATTTGTGTAATGTTTTACAAGTAATCCAGTAGAAATACTTATTGTCTAAATGTCTATTACCCAGAGATTGGCTACAAATTAGAAAGAATAGGAAAAAACGGGAAAATGCACAGTAGGAGAAGGTATCTGTTCATCACACTTTCTTTAAATAATTAAAGATAATAGTAGAAGGGAGGCAGGATTCAGGAAGGACATTCAAAAGGTGGCAGGACTAAACTCCCAAAATTGAGAGAGATTCTGAGGTAAATAGATGGAATCAGGATGGAACTGATTAACATGTTGATTTCATTTGTCTGATTTATGTTTTCAGTGACCGAACCACCTGTGGCAGCTGCCACATGTCCCACACCATCAGTCCTAAATTCCCTCATCTACCACCGTGGCCAAAACATTGACACAAGAGACTTTGAAATCATATTTGACAATGGTGATGAGATTGAGGTTCGATGTAACACAGACTTCACTGTCAATGGCAGAGAGGCAGTGACCGCTACTTGTAGGAATGGAGCCTGGATGCCTGCACTACCACGTTGCGGTTAGATAAATTGTCTTTGGTCTTTATTGGTCATTTAATACCAAATACAATAAAATGAATTACAGCTTGACTTTGGGGTTAATTATGGTATAATTCTTAAAAATATACTTGTAACAAATTTATAAATTAAAGTTATCACATTTGTTGTTTTACCTTTATTTAATACATAGAATAAGTACATCATTTAATCTGATTCATAAGATTATTGACCTTAGTTGCTTGGTCAATTGTCTTTTGTTTACTATCATTTCGATAGTAAGAAAAAATCAGATGACAATTTTAATTGGTTAAAGACCTGTTAAAGTTATGTTTTGTCAACTACCCAAACGGTTTAATTGAAGTAATTAATGTCGTATAGTTTTATTCATAATATTTTAGTTCACCCTCATCCATCATTCAGTTTTATCTCATACTTAATGCAACTCGATTAATCAACTCTAATCTTTCTAATCTATCATCTCTCTACTTTGCTTATTGTTATAAATCTACACCTTGTTAACTGCTAGAACTCCTACTCCCGGGTGATGTTGATTGTAATAACGCTTTTCGTGAGTGGACGGTGGGGCGGCGGCAGTGAAAAGAATATCATAATTGGCATTATGATAGCCAAGCACACCAGTCCTTTTAAACAAAAAGTCTTGTTCATGAAATCTACATGGTTTGTTAGATTGGGGGAAAATGCCTTGTGGAGGGAAATTCCAAAAAAATCCAACGTACGTCCAACCAAATGATGTACATGTACAACATGTACAAGGTCGTTAAGGTGGTGGAACTTTTGTTTGGCCTGTAATTGTTTTCTTCTCATTAGAGGCCAAATTAAAAGTGATGTATCACATTGACCTTGCCAACAACAGCTCATCAAAGTGTATGAAATATACGACCCAAATTACGGAATTACCCTGAAAAGACACATTTATTTTCACAGTGCAGGGGCGTAGCACGGTCATTTTTATTGGGGGAGGGGGTAAACAATTTTGAACGGGGCACTTGCACATCCGTTGTGAAATGTAGACAGGGTTTTTTTTTCCTCCGGACACTTGGCCTTCGTTAAATCAAAAAGCGGGGGGAGGGGGGGGGGAGGTTACCATCTGTCGGTGGGGGCGCTGTTCAAAACCGACACTTATGCACACAAAGAGCCAACATATGGTGCTTTTCAGGGCGATGCATGTGCGAAATTCTGAAAAAGGCACCCAAAACGGCAGATGCCACAAAAAAGGGCACCACTTCTTTTTTGAAAAGGCCACTTGTTCAGAAAAAGAGGGCACTTCGTAAAAAAAGGGCACTAGATACAATTTTTTTTTTGGGGGGGGGTAATTGAAAAAAAGGGCATTTGAATGGAAAAAGGCAGTCTTTACAAAATATTGGGGGGGGTAAATAACCCCTCCCCCCCTCCCCCCCTCCCCCCCCCCCCCCCGCTGGCTACGCCTATGCAGTGGATCAAGTTCAGTTATTCTCTTTTAAAATGAAATCACGTTACTGACTTCAATAATGAATTAAACTAAATAAAAGCATAATTGTTGCTGTGCGTAGGAACTGTATAAAGGCCTGTGTTGCCTGTTGCACTACTGCGCAGAGATTGGTAAGCCCTCCATTACATATTTTGGTAAATATCTATGATTTAATATTGAATCTTTAATGTCTTTGTTGTATGACAGAGGTTACATACAAGCGCTCTTGTTCTCGTCCTGTGGCAGTCCCAGATGTCAGACAGTATGTTGACGATTCAATCAAGCTACTTGACACCCCTCACCCTTCGTTCTTCCATGAATCCACCATTATGTCACGGTGTAAGGATCCATTAACAATGACACTGGTAACTGGTCCGCTTCGCACCTGTAATGACGGCAGATGGACTGGACCTGTGCCAGTATGCGGTATGTTTTACTTTATTTAGTTTGTATTTGATTGAACGAAAAAAATTGTATTGAGCAAGATTTGAATGTAGGTACTCTGCATCAATATACTTCTGGTGCTCGATTTCGCCAGATTTCCAATACCCATTTTTTTTCTATAAAATTGGTATTTATGAATAGAAACCATATGTGTACTAAGTGGCCTCCGATCCTATCCAAAATTACGGTGATGTAGCATGTGGTTAACACTCAGATGACAGGATAAGGGATATTATTACTAAGGCCAAGTTTTATTGAAAAACAATATTAAATTCAACAATGAAATTCACTAGAGAGGAATTTGAACCTGCGTTTTACAAGACACTCTTAATTCAGGGCATATTTTGGTTTCCCAATGGCTCAGCGTCGCAGGGCACCACTCGGAAACCATGAAATCAAACATGATCTTTGCGATTTTGTGCGCCAACATCTGGAGGTGTTGCTTGGAGTAATATCCTCTTTTCCTATTCATGGCAGTGCGAGCATCAACTAGCTTCAGCCTCCCAGCCTTACGTACCACGCTCCATCAGTTCATGGCTAATGGAACCTTGCTCATCTACCCTGGTGTTGGTCAGTTGAATGTGGATTGCATCGTCTCCAGCGGTTACCCAGTTTTAGAACACAGTCACTCACAACAATGGACTCCAGGTGGTCAAGGAAAAAAGAAGTATGGTGTGCCTGCAGAAGGCCATTCAGGGACTTATACCTGTAAGAAGTTTGGGTGGCCAACTGCATTTCATCGGCTTATGATACAGGTAAGAGGTAAGTCCAGTTGCCAATTTATCTTTATGAGTAACGGCCAGTTTGAAGTTTGCAGATTTTAAATTCAGCTTAATTGCACCGTACTTTTTTTGTGATGGTTAAATTAATGATCCTTCTGAACGCAAGTAACTTGCATTGATAGTCCACAAGTCACATTTGACATTGCTACGAAGTTGTTTAATAGTTACAGGCTTGTTTTTTGAGTGCATGTTAGTAATTTTCTGCAGTGTTATTATTTTCTGTACTTTTTTCATAGCCGTTTCCTGTTCAGAGCCAAGTCCCCCGTTAAACGGTCGTCGTATCGGCGATGACTTCCGCCTAACAGAGTCAGTATCATTTGAATGCAACGAGGGCTATGATCTCATCGGGGAACGGACGATCAAATGCAACCTTGGTGAATGGTTGGGAGAAATACCGCGCTGCAGAGGTAAGTGATTGAGGCCTTCCATTCTACATTCTGAGTGGTCAAGTATATGCATTTAAAAAATATATATATTTATATATATGCCATCTAATCCAAAAACGATCTTCATCCAATTACAATCTCAGATCTTCCAATGACAAAACACTCCTCAGTTACTCAGCAAGTCGAACCAAGGTCACCCTTGGTGATCGTGCATTTGAGTGTGCTGCACCTAAGTTATGGAATGCACTGCCATTAAATATCCGAGAAGCAAGTAGCCTGAATGTTTTTAAACAATTACTTAAAACTCATCTTTTTATGAGAGCTTTTTATTGATTTTTTGTACCCTGTATCAGTGTTCATTGTATTGTTGAATTTTGCGTATACGTCTGTTTATTTTTATTTTTTTATGACTGTAATGCGCATTTGAACATATTTTAAATGGAATTTGCGCACTATAAATTTAAATAAATTATTAAAAAGAACCACCGTTGCCAAATGGTCGCCATTTTCCAGTTTCTCTTTCCGTTTACCAGATGATTCACTGGGAGAAAGGTAGAAAATTCAAGATATGCAATTCAGAGCAAACCATCAAAAAAATGCATGGTCATGTGGCCCTCTTTCAAGAGGAAAGGCAGGTAGCAGGGCCTATGACTAAATTGTCCGGGATACGTTTGGTCAACTATTCAGTTGTTCTTGTGTGTTACTGGGCGATCCATATTCAACATGTGGCTCTTTTGTGATATTCTTATAAAAATGCATAGATGTACAAGATGAGATGAATATTAGGGACGAAATCTTTCAATCCGGCTATTTTGCATAACTGGGAAATGGCAAAGAGGAAATACGGGAGGTTGACATAATTGAAATTGGTGTTGAAAAAAAATAATTGTCTTAGTTTAAGGTAGAAATATCTATGTACATCAATTGTCTTTTCAGTAAAGTCGGTTCCATCAAACATACTTTTCATAATCCAAATTGACTTTACACACTAAAATTAACAAAAGGTATACCATGCAGTGATATACTTTAAGCCTGACGATTACACACTTTTGGGGGGCTTCAAATTGATTACCAACAGAAACATGTGCGTATTATTAGGATGTTTTTAATCTTTGTCTAAGATAATGGTTCCACATTGTATCATTTGTTCCATGGCTAGCTCGGGACTGTCCAGAGATCAACATGGCAAACCTAGACTCCAACCTACGACTCACGATAAATGGAGGCAACTCACCAGGCTCAGTAGTGATGTTTACTTGCCAATCCGGATTCCATCGGGTAGGAGAAACACGCCTCACTTGCCAGGGTGGCAGCTGGTCTCCTCCCTTCCCTACTTGTGAAGGTGAGACTCTGGTTTATTTTGAAGTCAGTCATACAATTTATTCTGTTTGAAGTAAAATCGTGATTAGCGGTTACTCATTAACTACCATGTACATGTATGTTTTTCGGTTACCAGAGCAGAAAGTAAAATAATATGAGGATTCCATTCGTAGTGACAAATACCTGTAGGCCTAGAATAATACTTTAGAACAATAATCACAAACAAGTATACAAATTTAACATCCTTATTGCTTTGAACCACAGAAGGGGTATGGATTCACCATCAGTATTTCCACAAAGTTTCTTACAGGTATAAATGTAGACCTTTATTTTTTGAAGAATTTGGAAATACGTTTTTCCCACTAAAAAAGACTTCACTTATAGTCTTTTTTTTTTTTTTTTTAAATTGAAAACTTTACAATTAAATGTCTAAAAGGATGGCAGTACATAGAAAATGTACTCACAAATGTGACACTAAATAGTTCAATACAAGAATCCTTACTGTTGAATTTCTTGGGTTTATTCGACAGCCGATGTTCCTGATGACACAGGCCCGCTATTTGGGCCGGATGACTGCAACTGTGAGGTTTGGGAGAGATGTGTGGCCAACAGCAATGGCCCATCAACATGCCACTGTATCCACCCGCGGCAGTGTGATGACGTAGGCCAGGAGCAATACTGTGGGAGTGACGGTCGAACGTACCCCAGCATCTGCAGAATGAAGGCTGCAGGCTGTCTGCTGGACTTGGACATACAGGTCGTCAGCAATGGACCTTGCCCAGAAAGTAAGCATAAATACATCTTCACACTTTCAGTTTTCCTTTTTATTTCGTTTAACACCAAGTAACCCACAATTTTACCCACGCCGTAGGCTTGAGCTGCTTATGTTGGTTTGTTGGTTGGTCGGTGGGTTTGTGGGTGGGTACGTGAGTTCGTTTCTGCATTCAGTAGGGGACGTTGAACAATAGAGGACAATAGGGTTCCCAATTTTCGAGAGGTCCCCTTTTTGGATTCGTGTACAAAACATGTGGGAGGTCTACCTAAAAAGTACAAACAAAAGAAACCTTGTCGCCCCCCGGTCGCCCTCCCCCCCCCCCCCCCACTGAGATTTTGAGTTTCTAAAAAAAATATCATTGATCTAAATCTAAATAGTCGCGAATGATCCACATGATGACCACTGAGAAACGACCTTTCGACCGGCGACCGCGGACCAGAGCTGACAACCGGCGTGACATAGCGCCTAATGATAATCTAAAATGCGTATTATCACCCACTGTACTGTTCGCTCACACCACGAAACACGTATTATAGACAGGTGGTCCGTGGGTCACACAGTTTCAGTCAGCAATATCACGCGAATCGGCCACGCACAAACTTTTTCCTTGTCGCCCCCCCCCCAGTCCCCCCCCCCCCCACTGAGATTTTGAGTTTCTAAAAAAATTATCATTGATCTACATGACGCCATGGGCGTCAATCCTGGGGGGGGGGGACAAAGGGACAGGTCCCCCCCCCCCCACTTTTTGAAGGGTGGGGGACAACATATCAAATGTCCCCCCCCCCAGATTTTTGAAATCGTGTCTCATTTACAGGGCCCTATTATGTACTACAATGTATCTTTTGCTTAGAAAATATTGGTTAAAGTTGTCAGAAATTGCCTCAGATAGCACCACAGAGCATTTAGAATCCAAAATTTTTCTTGGCCCTTAAGCGGGCCCCGAACCCCACGCCTCTAGCTCAGAAATCTGGTAGCTGATTCAATGACTCCAACCTCGAAAACAATTTTCAAAAAACTGTCTTATGCCTTTAGCTGAGAAAACCTCGAAAATTATGTTTAAATTAGTATCTTTCGTGCTAAGATAATTATTAGTTAAAGTGGTAAGAAATTGCCTCAGTTCACACCACAGAGCATCGAAAATCCAATTTTTTTCGGGGCCCTTAAGCGGGCCCCGAACCCCACGCCTATAGCTCAGAATACCGATAGCTGATTCAACGACTGCAACCTCGAAAACGATGTTCAAATAATTATCTTTTGCTAAGAAAATATTAGTTAAAGCTTTGAGGAAAGTGGTAAGAAATTTCTTCAGATCACACCACAGAACATCTAGAATCCAATTTTTTTCGGGGCCCTTAAGCGGGCCCCGAACCCCGACGCCGTAAGGGCTTCGCGCTTCGCGCTCGCATCAGTTCTGATCAAGGTATGCCCCCCCCCCACTTTTGAAAAGCGATTGACGCCCCTACATGACGCCCCACCCCCATGAAATGTTCCAGCTCCCCCCCCCCCCTGAAAAATTCTTGGCTACGCCACAGGTCCCCGATGAGGCAAATACACACTTGTATGGGTAAACAAGCATTACATTCACTGTGTGGACTTACAAACAAAAGAGGTCGACATTAAAATGAGGTAGCAACTACGTTGTGTGGACTTGCCCACGTCCACACAGTGTTTCCCCCTCTCTGAAGAGCAGGTTTAGAGGCATTTTTGGGTTAGGTTTATCCGTGGCAAAATGAAGAGGAGCACAAAAGGGAATCATATAGACCGTGGGCCAAGTTTAGCAAACCTTATTTCTTATTCAAAATCAGACTCAACTCGTTCGGTTGGTTTCTAATCACATTAAAAGTCGTTTAAAAAAATACAAGAACGACTATTAAAGAATGTTCTTGTGAATTTATTTAGTTGTTAACATATAAGAACAAGAAATTACAACGGAAAATCATTTTTCAAGTTTTCGAACATGGCTGGAAACAGTCTGATCTCTGTCCGGGCAACTAGTGTAAATATATGGGGCGCGTTTTGGAATCATGTCACTATAAACAAAATGCGACGTCGGAAGACGAAGAGGGAGTAAAAGACGAAGTCTCGGTGTGTTATTTACATTGTTTAATCAACTGCTGGCAAGTTGACTCCTTTTTCGGATGTATCGTGGGACAAGGTCACACACTGCGTCACACACACACACATTTGCAGAAATAGCCCAAGAAGTTCAGGAGAGTGTGGACCTAGCTGGCGGTACGGTACCCCGATCGCCTGCCAGGCATCAGTACAGGCATGGAGCTATAAACACTCCATTGTACAGGCAGGTAAGTTCATTGTCGAAGTTGGTCACACTTCTAGCTTTTTGCTGTGTGGGTATTTTAATTTAACCCTTACTATATTCTACAAGTAGCTGGTTGGGAGTACAAACACATTTCTAATAAAGTTTAAATTTTCTAGGTTTATTTCAGATTTTGTTTTGAAGAGCAAGTAACACTTTTCTACAGGCATGCAACTTTTCCTTGGATCCGCTGTTTTCTTCGTTTTTTACTTATCATGAAGAAAAGGATTCCATACAAGGCCTCCACTCAGAACTCCTGCACAAAGTCTACGGGCCATGACAGAAAAAGTTAAAGTATTATCAAAGAATTTTTGCACTCCTAACAAAGTGTTACTTTGTCAGATTTACAACTTTAAGTACTTTTCAGGTCATATTATTAAGGAAAATTATAAGTGTTGGCCTTGTAAGTTGTATAGAATTCTTTCCTGTCACGGTCACAATAACATGTAAACAATGGCGTGTAAAAGCAACAGTTTCATTGCAATTTGCTATAAAAACATTCTCATCAAATGTACAATGCCCTCTTACAATTACTTTATTTTTCAATATCTTTATGACAGGTGTAAATCGCCGACAAGTTCCCCCCAAAGATTATGAACAAGACCAAGAATGATAGTGGTGCTGAGCATGATGATGATGTGGATGACAGTTCCGTCGTTCTCTCTGGTGTTGAACGTTCTTTGAGTTTTGACGATCCAGTTCACTGGTAGGGTAAAACAACAGATATTGTGGATGGCAGTTCCAGTGGTGTCTCTGACGCTAAAAATTATTAGAGTTTTTGATTAGTTTAATTGAGTGGCGGAGTAAACTGCAGCTGATGTTGATGCAGTTCCAACCAGTGAGGTTTCTGATGCCGAATATTCTCAGGGTTTTTGATGAGGCTGCAACGATTCATATTTGGATGCCAAATATTTAAAGTCATAACTGTTACCACACAACATTTAAAGTTTAATTGTGAAGCAGTGTTTTGACTTATCAAAATAAGATGAAAAATTGTTCAAACTAGACTATTGGTTGTGAAGGGAACCAGTACAACAAACTCATTATATGATATGTTTAATATTTTTACAAAATATTGTGGTGGAAAGTGTGTGTGTGAGATTAGAGAGATTTTAATTGTGACGTCATACCATAGCACTTACGCTTAATCACTGTGTTCGTGACTGGGTGGAGCTTAGGAGCTCCGTGCGTTGCTGCTTGCACGCGATTGGTTAGCCAAGCGCCATAGGTTTAGCGTGCCATTGGTTTAGTGCATGTACATTATGCGCGTATCCGTGCACGTGAGGGCTGCACTCACGTGCTTACGGGGAATTGATGTTGCGGACAGCAAGCGAGCAATAGGTGAATTACCTGTGCTCTGCATTTTGGGGGAATGCTTATGCACGAATTGTACATATTTGTATGAGCTGTGCTGGGGTTACGCTGGCATGTATGGCTGATGTGGCGCAAGTACACGGCTGTATAGCTGTACGTTGCTGACTGGCTTGCATGGTCGATGCGTAGCGGGTACAAGGCTGTACTACATGTACTGAGCATTGCTTGTGCTACTGTACATTGTTTATGCTGTTGTACATTGCCTGTGTGGTTGTACATTGCTGTTGCTTGGGCGCATTGTAGACATTGCGGTGCATTGTTGGAATTTCGGATGCTGTTGCACATTGCTACTGCGTGCAGTAGACTTGGCTCATCTCTCCAATAATTCAAGGACCAAGATAATAGAACAACCACGCCTATTAATTCAGATTAATAAATACCTTGGAGAGTTGATGGTTTCTGATTGGTCGAAACTCGATCACGTGGCCGGGCATTAACGGTGATAATGGACAGGCTTCAAAGATCAAGCGAATAAATGGCCCCTGAACCAGCATTTATCAATCCCCGTTCAGCCCCATGCAAGCCAATGATTGGTCAAAATATAGTAACAGTCCTGCGGTAGCTTGTAACAATAGAGCACTGCACATGCGCTCAACCTCATCGCGTGAGACTGACGCGCGCGTACACAACACAGTTGCTAGGGATGCATGCGTGCGCGCGCGTAAGGAAGTTTTGATACAGCAGTGCAGTATATACTGAGGATGTTTACGACGAAAGCGTAGATCTACGATTTATTTTCTTTGAACACTTCACCCACCGACATATTTACCTTTCCTAAACCAAGCATCTTTGTAATTCCGGACACAAGGAATGTGTAAACGAGATTTCAGCTTCCTCCATCAGGTAAAGATATGAAAACATTGTTGTAATTTGTTTCGCTACGGCAGCAGTTTCTGTTGAGTTTACGTCGTTATAGCTGTTAAGCTAAAATATGGCCCATGAACATGAACATAAAAAGTCTGGAAATATCGCCAGAAAAAAAGTCACAAAATTGGAGCATTTTAACTGTTTATTTCGTTAAAAAGGTATTTATTAATGGGAAAAACAGTGTGAAGATCCGGTCTTCACTGCGTGACAATGACCGGGTGTGGGGCGACCGCTGTTAATGGACCGAGACGAAGTCGAGGTCCATTAACACCCGGTCATTATCACGCAGTGAAGACCGGCTCCTCACCAGTACTGTTATTCCCTTATTTCTGTACATTTATTGATTACTGTTGAATAAATTATGAGCATTGTTAATTGAGGTTACCAACAATTCTGTTTCAGGTGTCTCTGTTACAGGTCGATTGTGTAATTGATAGGATAATCGACAATCA